TATCTATCTATCTATCTATCTATCTATCTATCTATCTATCTATCTATTCATTCATTCATTCGTTTCTCTTTCCTCTGAAACTGGAGTTATAGATGGTTACGACCTACCATGTGGGTTCTGGGAATTAAATTAAGACCTCTGAAAGAGAAGCTAGTGTGCTTAAATTCAGGGCTATCACTCCAGCCTCCTCCTTACCTTTCTTAACACTCTCACCAAAGAAATCCTTGGGTGCCCTGATGGGAACCTGGAAGAGCTGCTTCAGGAGAGGAATCTCGTTGAACATGTACTGGCCTTTCCAGGGAACCACAGCTATTGATTGGTTTCCTGGCAATGGAGATGAAGACAAGTGGTTGACTGAGGACTTGAGGGTCTCAGGCTTGGGGAACCGCTCCTGTAGAAAGTAAACTACTAGCTTAGTCTGAGGTTTGCATACTCAGTGCAGAACAGGCCCCTCTGAAAGCAAGCCTCCTTGCCCAGTGAGGGGGGCTTCTTCATGCTTACCGCTATTTTTTAGGATCCCAGCCATTAAAGAGGGCTGCAAATGCAGCTTGATATTCCAGAGGTGTTGGTATCTGCATAAGACCTACGAGTGTAGAGATAAGAGGGCGAGCCTGTGTGGCATTTGAGGACAGATGGCTTAAGTGGCCTACAGGACTGTTTCCTGGCTCTAAAGTGGAAGGAAGGGATGGCTACTCCACACTGAAGGGCTTCGTTTAATAGCCAAAACTCTAAGCTCTTTGAAATAGATTCCAGAATGCATACTCGAGTGTATGGTTTTCATCCTGTAGAGTGTCCTAGAACCCCTGATCCCTCTCCCTGAAGTTGACCTAGCTTCCATGGAGTCGCCACTGTTCTTTCTAGGGTCTGTGGACAGAGAATATGTGAACTTAGCTAGGACCAGGACCTACTTGGAGGAGTCATGGTCCGTTTAAAGACACAAAGTGAACTTGAACCTGGTATTAGTTAGAACCCTAGTCTAGCCCTGAGGGCATCGCCAGGAATTTCTGCAGCCCGGTGACCTGTGCCTCACTCTGCACTCGCCTCGCAGGCCACAGCCCGCGCTGCTGCCCCGTGTCACCTCAAAGCCCAGCCAGGAGTAGGGAGACAGCACGTCGTAGAACAGTTCCAGGATGCGCGGAGCCGGTCCCATTCTGCAGTGAAGAGACAAAGCCAAGGAGAAGCCTTGGTCTGCTGAAGAGCTACAACGTTAGGAGCAAGCAGCCAGTCATAGCCTGTGAATCGGAGGCGTGTCCGCTAAGGGCCCTAGTGCGCAGCCTCCCGGAGATTCCCCGCCCCACGGGGCGGGCCCAAGGGTTGCAGTGGGGTGGAGGGAAAAGGCGAAAGGCGGGGAAGGAGGGCGGAGTCTGAGATAAAGGGGAAGGCTGCACAGAGAAGGTCTCTCAGGTGTGTGCAGTCACTCTGGATCCCTCTGGAACTTTATCCCTCAAGCAAGAAAGCAATGCACAAGGATCCGAATTTGCAGTTGGATGACGTTTAAAGATCAGCATTGTGGAAATTCTGAATTACATCTTTTATTGTATTCACTTTCTTAGAGATTAGAACAACTTTTGGAATGAATTTGAGGGTCACCATAGTGGTCTTTCTTTATCTCCGTTGTATATATTCCAGCACACCCAGAGGATGCCTGAAATTATAAATGACATCAAATTCTACATACTATGGTCTTTTTTATATGCATAAGATAACAGTGAAATATAACTTATAATTTAGCCACATTAGTGATGAATGCTAGAAGAACCGTAACCTATCAATCTAAAAATTTGTGCCTTATTATAATAAAAGTGCTATTTGAACATAAGTATTTCATTAGTACAGCACTTGATTTGATAACGTAGGTGGTTTCAGAAATGGACGCGTGCAGTGTATATAGTGTGAGCTCACTGAGCAAAAGGATGATTTACATCCCAAGAGGGAAGGCGCAGGACTTCATCTCCTACTACATTTATTTATTTATTTATTTATTTATTTATTTATGATTTTTTGACATGGGGTCTCAGCATGTAGCCTTGTCTATCCTGGAACTATATACTATTATTATTTATCATAAAAGTTTGTGTATTACAGATGTTATGTGGGAAACAACAAAAATATATTTCATTTTTTTTGTGGAATTAGTTTAAGTGAGTCAACTGTGCACCTGTGTTGACCCAAATTTTGTATGCAGAGTACAAATGAAGCTGTGTTTGGTAGCATTCATCTGTAATCCCAGTGTTCACACTGGAGGTAGAGGAGGAGGAGATGGTTACAGGAGAGTCCCTGCAAGCTCGCTGGCCACCTATCGTGGCATGTATACTGCTGTATATCACAGAACCTAGTTTAAACAAGGTGGAAGACAAGGATAAACCTCCTCATGTGGGTTATCCACATTCTTATATTCAACCATACACACATATCACATACTCACAGATTACAAAACATTTACTTTTATTTTCTTACTTATCTATATTGCTGAGAGTCATACCTAGCATTAAAAGAAAGCTTTAGACAATTTAGAGTACTTCTGAGCAAAGAAC